GGCAGACAGACGGAGAAACAAACATCGACAGATAGACGGACAAACGGGCAGACAGACGGAGAAACAAACATCGACAGATAGACGGACAAACGGGCAGACAGACCGGCAGACAGACAGACAGGGGGAAATAAACTCGGCGAGAACGGCAAGTGATAAAAGGGGTGTAGCACTCGAAACCCTTGGAAGATACAGTAAGGAATATCTTGACAGTTTTCCGTTAACGATTCGGAGGTTTACTCGCGTCCTGAATGCTGCGCCTAATGAGGGATATTGATTTAGAAAAAAAAAAACGAAAACGAAAAAGAAAATAGAAAAAAAGGGAAATTCATGCGAGCGGTCGGGTCTCCGCTGACCCTCGATCTTCCGGCGTAACCTTTCCTCCCCCGTTCCTGATAGTGGACTTTCCCGACTATTTTTTGGGATGGACGGATTTTATTCATCGTCGGATTCTGTCTGTTTATTGCTCTCTCTCTCTCTCCCTCTCTCTCTCCTCCTCTCTCTCTCTCTCTCTCTCCTCTCTCTCTCTCTCTCTCTCTCCTCTCTCTCTTCTCTCTCTCTCTCTCTCTCTCTCTCTCTCCTCTCTCTATCTCATTTTTTTTCTAATTCGCTAGCTTGTTTCTCTTCTCTTCTCACTTCTCTATTTTCTTTCTCTTCTCTCTTTTTCTGTTTCTCTTTCTCTCTCTGCTCTCTTCTCTCTCTCTCTCTCTCTCTCTTCTCTCTCTCTCTCTCTCTCTCTCTCTCTCTCTCTCTCTCTCCTCTCTCCTCTCTCTCTCTCCTCTCTCCTCTCTCTCTCTCCCTCTCTCCTCTCTCTCTCCTCTCTCTCTCTCTCTCTCTCTCTCTCTCTCTCTCTCTCTCTCTCTCTCTCTCTCTCTCTCTCTCTCTCTCTCTCTCTCTCTCTCTCTCTCTCTCTCTCTTCCCTCTTCTCTCTCTCTCTTTCTTCTCTCTCTCCCTCTCCCTCTCTCTCTCTCTTTCCCTCTCCCTCTCCCTCTCCCTCTCCTCTCCCCCCATTTTTCTCTCCCTCTGCCTCTTCCATTTCCACTCCCTCTCCCTTCCCCCTTCCCTCTCCCCTCTCCCATTTCCACTCCTTCTCTGCCTTCGTGCCCTCCCTTACGTCGTGAGAACTGCAATGCACTGGAAAGTTAAAGAAAGAAGAAAAAATTTATGCAAAATTCAGAAGGTATTAATTGAAAGAAATTTGAGAGCTCTCTTTTATACCGAAGTCAAGATATAAGATTCTGAGGCGAATACATGCTAAGGGAATGATGATAACGGGGAAGAGGGAGAAGAGTGATAATGGCTAGAAATTGAAATTGGGATTACGATGATAGGAGTAAGGGTAGGGATAATGATAAATATAATTTTAGTGATAATAGTTATGATAATGTTTATGATTATGATGGTAAATAATAATGGTAATGATTTATAAGTGTATAGTGATGATGTGATGATGATAGTAATGGGGATGGTGATGATGATAATGATAATAATACGGATACCAGCAACGAGATAATGATAAATGATAATAAATCATGATCATTACAATGATGATATTAGCAATAGTAATAATGGTAATGATGATGATCAGGAACCTCATCCCTTACCTAAGAACCCCCCCCCCCTACATAGCACCCTCCCTCACTCCCCAACCTTCAGCTCCACCCCAACTTACCTCCCGACACCAACTTCCCCCCCCCCCCCACACACACACACACATCAGTCTACTCGCCCACACGAATCTATCCACTTATTTCTCCACCTCAATTTACCTTCCGCCCTTCTGCTACACCGCCTCCTACCCACACACCATAACCTACGCATTCAAACCTACCCACCCCTATTCCCTCCCTCCCCAACCTGCTTCTCCACCTCATCCTTCCTATCACCCCTAGCCTATCCACCTACCTCACCAGCCCACCCAACTTCTCCCACTTGCCCTACTTACCCACCCATCTCGCCCACCTGCCCCCCCACCTCATTCTACCCACTCACAACCAACCCATCCATCCCGACTTACCCATCCACCCCGACCTACCCATCCTCCTGGCCCAACCCTACCCAACCCACCCACGCCCCTACCCAACCCACCCGCCCACCCTGGAAAACGCTAAATTGGAGAATTATGTATTTAGCCCCAAACTCGACCACCGTCACCGGTCACTTTGCAAGCAGGCGGCGGGGGAGATGAGATCAAAGTGGCCGAGATCAGGGGCTGGATGCTGGCCGGATGCTTGCTGAGATTGGCTGGGTGGGGGATGGGTGGAAGAAAGGAAAATGAAGGAAGGGAGGTGAGGGAGGGTGGTAGAAAGGAAAAGTGGAGGAAAGGAGGAGATGGAGGGTGGTAGAAAAGCAAAATGGGAGGAAAGGAGGAGAGGGAGGGTGGCAGGAAGGAAAGTGGAAGGAAAGGAGGAGAGGGAGGGTGGAAGAAAGGAAAAAGGAAGGAAAAGATGAGAAGTAGAGTGGCAGAAAGGAAAAAGGAAGGACAGGAGAAGAGAGAGGGTGG